GTTATATGTCTGTTGAGATTTTTAATTTCTTCTTAAATCAGTTTAGGTAATTTGTGTGTTTCTAGGAATTTGTCCATTTATTCTAGGTTATCTAGTTTGTTGGTGTGTAGTAGTGCATAGTATTCTCTTATAATCTGTTTTATTTCTGTAAGGTCAGTAGTAATGTCACCACTTTCATTTTTTTTTTCCCCCTGAGGAAGATTTGCCCTGAGCTAACATCTGTTGCCAAATTTCCTCTTTTTTTGCTTGAAGAAGATTAGCCCTGAGCTAACATCTGTGCCAGTCTTCCTCTGTTTTATATGTGGGTTGCCACCATAGCTTGGCTGACGAGTAGAGTAGGTCCGCACCTGGGATCCGAACCTGTGACCCCAGGCTGCCGAAGCGGAGTGCATTGAACTTAACCACTGTGCCATGGGGCTGGCCCCCCCCCTTTCATTTTTGATTTAGTTTGTGTATCTTCTCTCTCTTTTTCTAGGCAGTTTATTAAAGGTTTGTCAATATTGTTGATTTTTTTCAAAAAGGCAACTTTTGGTTTCATTGATTCTATTGTTTTTTCTATTCTCTACTTTATTATCTCTAGTCTTTATTATTTCCTAGCTTTGAGTTTAATTTCTTCTTCTTTTTTTAGTACCCCAATGTGTAAAGTTAGGCTGTTGATTTGAAGTCTTTTTTCTCTTTTAACATAGACATTTATAGTTATAAATTTCCCTCTGAGCACTGCCTTTGCTGTATGCTGTAAGTTTTGGTATGTTGTGTTTTCTCCAAATATTGTCTAATGTCCCTTGTGATTTCTTCTTTGTCCTATTGGATGTTTAAGAATATGTTGTTTATTTCTACATACTTGTGAATTTTCCAGTTTTCCTGCTATTGCTGATTTCTAACTTCATTCTTTCATGGTCAGAAAAGATACTTTGTGTGATTTCTCTCTTTTTAAATTTATTGAGACTGTTTTGTGGTCTAACATATGGTTTATCCTGGAGAATGTTCCATGTGCAGCTGAGAAGAACGTGTATTCTATTGTTATTGGGTGAAGTGTTCTATATATGTCTGTTAGGCCTAGGTGGTTTATAGTGTTCCAGTCCTCTATTTCCTTATTGACTTTCTGTCTAGGTGTTCTACCCATTATTGAAATTGGTTTACGGAACTAACAACTAGCGTAGAACTATTTTATTTCTCCCTTCAATTTGGTCAATATTTGCTTTACGTATTTTGGGTCTCTGTTGTTTGCACATATATGTTTATAATTGTTTTATCTTTTTGATGAATTGACCCTTTTATCAACATACAATGTCCTTTTTTGTCTCTTGTAACAGTTTTTGACATAAAGCCTGTTTTGCCTGATATTAGAATAGCCATTCTAGCTCTCTTTTGCTTACTGTTTGTATGGAGTATCATTTTCCATGTGTTCACTTTGAATCCATTTGTATTTTTGAGTTTAAAGTGAATCTCTTATAGTTGGATCATATTTTTTAATCCATCCTGCTAATCTCTGTTTTTGATTGAGAGTTTAATCCAATGAAATTTAAAGCAATGACTGATGAAAAAGGACTTCTGACATTTTGCTATTTTTTTCCTGTACATTTTATACCTTTTTTATCACTCATTTCCTACATTACATACCTCTTTCTTTTTTTTTTTTCTATTTGGTTTATTGTAGTGAACCATTTTGATTCCCTTCTCATTTCCTTTTATGTGTATTTTTTTGATACTTGCTTTGTTGTTAGCATTGGGATTACATTTAATGTCCTAAACTTAAAACAATCTAGTTTGAATTGAAAACAACTTAACTTCAATAGCATACAAAAGCTCCGCTCCTGTACAGCTCAGTCTTCCCCGTTTTATCTGCTTGTCATCATAAATTACGTCTTTATACATTGTGTGTCCAATAACATGGATTTGTAATTAATTTTTATGCACCTGTCTTTTAAATCATTTAGGAAATACAAAATGGAGTTACAAACCAAATATACAATAATGCTAGGTTTTTTTTTTCCAATGTATTTACCTTTACTGGAGACCTTTATTTCTTCACATGGCTTTGAGTTGCTGTTTAGTGTCCTTTCATTTCAACCTGAAGGAGTAAGCTTTAGCATTTCCCGTAGGGCAGGTCTAATGGTAGTAAACTCCCTCAGCTTTTGTTTATCTGAGACCATCTTAATTTGTACCTCATTTTGAAGGACAGTTTTGCCAGATATAGAATTCTTGGTTGACAGTTTTTTTCTTTCAGCACTTAAATATGCCATCCTACTGTGTTCTGGCCTCCATGGTTTCTTATGAGAAATGAGCTGCTAATCTTACTGAGGATCTCTTGTAAAGATTTGATTCTCTCACTGCTTTTAAGATTCTCTATTTGGACAGTTTGATTATAATTGTCTTGGTGTGAGTCTCTTGAAATTTATCCTATTTTGATTTTATTGAGCTTTTTGGATTTGTAGTTTCATGTATTTCGTCAAATTTGGGGCATTTTCAGCCATTGTTTCTTCAAATATTATTTTTGTCCCTTTCTTTCTTCTCCTTCTGAGACTCCCATAATGCATGTTTTGGTTTGTTTGATGTTATCCCACAGGTCCCTTAGGCTCTGTTCACTTTTTTTTTAAGCTCCCTTAGGCTCTGTTCACTTTTTTTTTAAGCTCTTTGAGCGTATTTGAGTCAATTTCAAAGTTTTTGTCTAGTTAGTCTGATGTCTGGACTTCCTGAGGAACAGTTTCTGTTAATTAATTTTGTTCCTTTGAATGGGCCATACTTCCCTGTTTTTTGGTGTGCTTTGTAATTTTTTTTAACTGAACATTTGAATATTATAATGTTGTAACTCTTGAATTCAGATTCTTCCCTTTCTCCAGGGCTTGGGGGTTTTTTATTTATTTTTTTATTTTTTATTGTTGAAGGCTGTATTAGTATGTTTGTTTAGTGACTTTCCCAAGCTATTTTTTTCCCAAAGACTGTATTCCTTGGCATGTGTAGTTACTGAAGTTTCTGTTCCTTAGCTTGTGTTCTGCTAGTGTTTTGACAGAGATTTCTTTGAGTTTCAGGAGCTACAAAACCAACCAACCAAACAACAGCAGAAACATCTCCCAGTCTTTACAGATTGGCTGTGTACTGGGGCACTCCTGTAACGTTTTGTGAAAATTGCCAATGGGACATAGCACTAATAATTACAGTAAAATTCAGATCTGTGTCCTGAGATTTGCCCATTGTGCTATAAAGATAGGTAAAGATCTTTACTTTTCACAAGAAAATAATTTGTATTTGGTTTAAATTAATTGTATCTTAGTATTTGGTTTTGAAAATTCTTAGATAACTAGTCGTTTTTACCTTAACAAGCAGAAGGTGCTTTCAGAACCCCTGTTACCCTGATCCCATTGGAGAATCTAATTAAATTCAAGAGATATTTATTAAGGAGTGTTGTGGGGGTACTGCATTGGGGCATTTAGGACAGCATGACCAGAGAGATTTAAAGAGGAAGATGAAACATTGGTATCAAAGATGACATTTACTTAGTTGGAAATTTTAACTGAGGCCACCTAGATATTGGTAAGGGGAATAAATGCTCTTACTATCGTTTTTTTAACCACAGAATTTACTGCTCTCAGCTTCTAGAATTCAGAATTCTAGAATCTCAGCTTCTAGAATTGCTACCTTAGAGCTATGATTATATAATTTCATTATATTTTTCTGAGATACTGAGGATTTAATCTCCATTTATATAACATTATTTCTATAAGAAAATATGTTCTCAGAATCAAACAAATACTAGTCTTTAGGAGTAGCAATCAGTTTATAAGTTTGAAATGATTTTGAAAAGAAAATTTCCTTTTCTTTTTTCTTAGATATGTCTTTTCTACCTTAAAATAAGCATTTTGACAATATCAAATTTATGTAACATCTTTGTTTCATATTGTGTAGTGAAGTGTTCTTAATTGTGTTGCTACTTTACATTATTACACTTACATGTTTGATGTTAAGCTGATCAACTTTTAATAATCCATAATAGCACATTCTTGAAAATAAAATTATATTTATAAAGTCATTGCAGTCTTATTATGGTATTTTTTTCAAATGTTTTTAGTATTTAATTTTTTTGATTCAGTTAATAAACTTTTCAATATTGAATGATGGCACATATAAAAAGCATCCTATTTTTTTTAATTAAAGACTTTAACACTTTATAAGAATTATTTTATTCTATTTTAATTTAGATAACACATTCACAAAATTCAGAGCTCAGAAGATTATACAATGAAAATCTTCCGTCCTACTCTTCTCCTGTGCTCTTCTTGCATTCTACCCAGGGACAACCATTTTACAAGTTTCTTGTGTAGAGATTTTTCCATGATATATATTTTCCATATGATTTTTCATATATCTTTGAAATTTGCTTATCTATATATGTGTGTATTTTTTCTTGTTGATTTTCTTTTTTCTTTTTTGGTACGTTCTGTTTTGCCCCCTTGTTTCCTCCTCTCCCCCTTTTCAATATATTTTGGAGAATGCAACAGTTAAGACCACCCTCATTCTTTTCTATTGCAGCATGCTGTTGTTTATTGTTGTACTGTAATTGACTTAACTAGTCTCCTATTGAGAAACATTGAGCTCATTTTCTGTCTTTTCATATTGTAAACACTGCTGTATTGAAAATTCTCTATATGTCATATCCCATATGTGTGAAATGTTTCTTCGTGTCTCCTACCCATTTTATGATTGGATTATTTGCTCTTTTACTGTTGTGTTTTGAGAGTTCTTTATATATTCTTGATACTGATTCTTTGTTGGGTATGTGATTTGGAAATATATTGTCTTGCTCCTTAGCTTGTCTTTTCATCCACTTAACAGAGTCCTCAGAACAAAAGTTAAAATTTTTTTTTTTTTAATTTTGTGAGGGAGATCAGCCCTGAGCTAACATCCATTCCAATCCTCCTCTTTTTTTGCTGAGGAAGACTGGCCCTGAGCTAACATCTGTGCCAATCTTCCTCCGCTTTATGTGGGACACCACCACAGCATGACCCGACAAGCGGTGCGTTGGTGCCCGCCCGGGATCCGAACCTGGGCCGCCTGCAGTTTAGCACGCACACTTAACCACTACACCATGGGGCCAGCCCCCAAAAGTTTTAAATTTTGATGAAGTCCAATTTATCAGTCTTTTGCTTTTATGGATTGATGTCAAGCGTAAGTACTCGTTGCCTATCAGTGGATCCTGAAACCTTTGTTCTTTATTTTTTTCCTAAAAGCTTTATAGTTTTACTTTTTATGTTTAAATTCATGATATGTTGTGAGTTACTTTTGCATAAGATGTGAGAATCAAGTTGAAGTTCATTTTTTTGCCTATGGGTGTCTAGTTGCTCCAGCACCATTTGTTGGAAAGGCAGTCTTTCTTCCATTAAATTACTTTTGTATTTTTGTCAAAAATTAATTGGGCAGGGCCGGCCCCGTGGCTTAGCGGTTAAGTGCACGCGCTCCGCTGCTGGTGGCCCGGGTTCGGATCCCGGGCGTGCACCGATGCACCGCTTCTCCGGCCATGCTGAGGCCACGTCCCACATACAGCAACTAGAAGGCTGTGCAGCTATGACATACAACTATCTCCTGGGGCTTTGGGGAAAAAATAAATAAATAAAAGTTTAAAAAAAAATTAATTGGGCATATTTTTGTAGGTCTGTTTCTGGGTTCTCTATTCTGTTCCATTGATCTATGTGTCTCTCTCTCTCTGCCAGTACTACTCAATTTTTATTACTGTAGCTATATAATAAGTCTTGAAATTGGGTAGAATAGTTTCTCCCCTTTTATTTTCCAAAATTATTTTAGCTATTCTAGTTCCTTTTCCTTTTCACATAAATTTTACAATAATCTTGTCAAATATCTACAAAAAAATCTTGCTAGGATATTGGTTGGAGTTGTGTTAAACCCACATATTAATTTAAGGAGTGGGAGAATTGACATCCTTACTATGTTGAGTCTCCCAATCCATGAACATAGAATGTCTTTCTATTTATTTAGATCTTTGATTTCTTTCATCAGCATTGTGCTGTTTTAAGCAGACAAGTTCTGTATTTTGTTAGATTTGCACTTAAGTATTTTGGGCGTGTGGGTTTATTTTATTTTATTTTTAGTGCATGTCTTTGTTGCTAGTATATCAAAATACAGTTGATTTTTATGTGGTTATCTTATATCACGTGACCTTACTGAACTCACTCATTAGTTCTGGGAGTTCTTTTTGTTTGTTTGTTTTGGTAGATTCTTTGGAATTTTCTGCCTAGATAATCATGTTATCGGCAAATAAAGACAGTTTTATTTTTGCCTTTCAAATTTGCATGTCTATTTCCTTTTCTTATTGCACTGGCAAGAACTTCCAACACTATGTTCAATAAACATGTTGAGATTGGGCACTCTTGTCTTTTTCCCCCCAATTTTAGAGAGAAAGCATTCAGTCTTTCACTGTTAAGTGTATGTTAACTGTAGACTTTTTGTAGATGCTCTTTATCAAGTTGAGGAAATTCCCTCTATTTCTGTTTTTCTGAGAGGTTGAGTTTTTGTCAAATACTTTTTCTACCTCAGTTGAAATTAACTTTTTAGTGTGGTAGATTACATTGATTAGTTTTAGAATATTGATCCAGACCTGCATTCCTGGAATAAACTCAGCTTGGTCATGGTGTATAATTCTTTTGGTGTATTGCTGAATTCCATTTGCTAATATTTTGTTAAGGCGTTTGCATGTATAATTATGAAGAATATTGGTCTGTAGTTTTCCTTTCTTGTACTGTCTTTATTTGATTTTGGTATCAGGGTAACGCTAGGTTAATAAAATGAATTTGAAAGTGTTCCTTTCAATTCTGTTTTCTAGAGGAGATTGTGGAGAATTGGAGTTAATTCTTCTTTAAAAGCTTGTGATAATTTCCTTTGAAACCACTGGGCCTGGAGAATTCTTTTTTGGGTATTTTGGAATTGCAAATTCAATTTATTTTATCAGTATAGGACTATTCAAATTCATGTTGGGTAAGTTGTGGTAGTTTTTTTTTCTTTTTGAGAAATTGGTCCATTTTTGGACCAATTAGAAATTGGTCCAAATTGGACTTGGACCAAATTGGTCCATTCTAAGTTGTCAATTTATGTCTGTGAAGAGTTGTTCAGAGTGGTCTCTTACTATCTTTTTATAGTTGTAGGGTCTGTAGTGGTATCCCAGTTTCATTCCTGATCTATCCCTAATATTGGTAATTTTTATCTCCTCTCTGTTTTTCCTTTGTCAGTCTTACTAGATGTTTGTCAATTTTTGGTCTCTTAAAAGAACAAGCTGTTTTATTGATTCTTCTTTATTTTTCTGTTTTCAATTTCATTGATTTCTGCTCTTTATTATTTCCTTTCTTCCTTTTGCTTTGCTTTTAGTTTGCTTTTCTTTTTGGGGGTTCTTGAGGTGAGAGTTGAGATTGTTGATTTGAGGCTTTTCCTCTTTTCTATATGCTAAGTTTCCTTTCCAGCACTGTTTTAACTATGTCCCACAAATTTTGATGGGTTGTATTTTTACTTTCCTTCAGTTATATATATATTTTTAAATTTCTCTTGAGATTTCCTCTTTCATCTGTAGATTATTTAGATAAAAGCGTGTTGTTTAGTTTCCAAGTGGTTAGAGATTTTCCTGTTATCTTTCTGTTATTGATTTCCAGTTTGATTCTGTTGTGGTTAGAGAGCATTCTGTATGATTTCAGTTCGTTTAAATTTGTTAAGATTTGTTTTGTATTTCAAGATATGCTCTATCTTGTTTTATGTTACTTAGGCACTTGAAAAGAATGTGTATTTCTGTGTTGCTGTATGGAGAATTTTATAAATGTTAGTTCTTGTTGGTTGATGGTGCTGTTGAGTTTTTTTAAATTCCTGGTGATTTTCTGTCTAGTTCTGTTAACTGTTCAGAGAGGGGTGTTTAATTATTCAACTATAACTGTGGATTTGTCTATATATTCTTCTTTCAGTTCTACCAGTTTTTGCTTCATATATATTGGAGCTCTCTCGTTTGGTGGATACACATTTCGGAATGCTAGGTCTTCTTGGTGAATTGACCCTTTTATCATTATATAATGTCTTTCCCTGTCTCCAATAAATTTTCCTGCTTTGAGTTTACTTTATTTGATATCAATATTGCCGCTCCTGCTTTCCTTTGATTACTGCTTGCATGATAAGTCTTTTTCTGTCCTTTTACTCTCACCCTACTTATATCATTATATTTGAAGTGCCTGTCATGTGGATAGTACATAGTTGGGTCATGTTTTTTAATCCATTCTGTAATCTCTGTTTTTAATTGATATGTTTAGACCATTTTCTTTTTTTTTTCTTTTTATAATTTTATTTTATTTACTTTTTCCCCCCAAAGCCCCAGTAGATAGTTGTATGTCATAGCTGCACATCCTTCTAGTTGCTGTATGTGGGACGCGGCCTCAGCGTGGCCGGAGAAGCAGTGCCTCGGTGCGCGCCTGGGATCCGAACCCTGGGCCGCCAGCAGCAGAGCATGCGCACTTTACCGCTAAGCCACGGGGCCGGCCCATAGACCATTTTCATGCAGTGTAATCATTGCTATGTTATGGCTTAAGCCTGTTGTTTTAGTTATTGTTTTCTGTTTGTTCTGCTTTTTGTTTTTGGTTTCTTTTCCTGCCTTACTGTGGATTACTTGAACATTTGTAAGAATTCCATTTTGATTTATTTATAGTGTTTTTGAGTATCTCTTGGTATAGCTTTTTAAGTGGTTGCTCTAAGTATTACATTATGTAACATCACAGTCTATTGATGTCATTTTATCAGAGTGAAGAATAGAGAAACCTTACCTCTCTCCTTTTATTCGTTTCTGTTTAAATATGATTGTCTTAATATTTTCTCTGCATAAATCTAGAAGCATGTGAAACAAAAAAAAATTATGCAAAAGCCAAAACATTCATTCTGTGGTTTCTTTCTTAGAATTTCAGTATGTAATGCTTTTTAGCAATTCATAGTACTAAGCTGTTTTAGTTTGGATACTTTGGTTACAGCAAAAATAAAGTTTCTTCCTGTATTTAAAAAAATAAAAGTTTCAAATGACTAACATTTAAAATGCTGGTAATGGGCATCTTCATAGTGGTTTTGTAGCTTTCTTAAAAGTAAAAAGAGAACTTAAAAGATTGAGACCTTCCTTGTGACTCACTTTGGGGGATCTTATTTCCTTTTAAATAGTAATAATCATTTGATATTCAAATAATTAAAATAATACACATACAGATAAAATAATAGTGAAAATCTCTTCCTCTTCTTTCTCTTCCTCCATCCCACCAGTCTCACTCCACAGAATCTATATAGCCTAGTCTTTGGCCTTCAAAATCTTTGTTCTTTCCTCTCAATAATGAACTTCTCTCCCTTTTTAAAAATAGAAGTAGTACTTAAAAAAAATGACAACAGGATCTTAAATGAAAACCCAGTATATTAACAGAAAGTTACACAAAGTTGTTTTTTTTTTTCCTGCCCAGGTGGTAAGTAGAATCAGGCTGCCTCATCACCTTTGCCTGGTGGTACGTGGAGTCCTTCTGGGGAAACCCTCAATTCTGTGCTTATAATTTGAAAACTCCTGTTCCCTTTGTGCTGCTGGTAATTAAAAGCAAGAAATTAATTGAGCATTTTATGAAGGAGACATAATTCCAGGTTTTTTAAAAAGTGTGTTTAAAATATATCCTTATATTCCTAATATAAATGTTGCTTTGTCAGAAGTTTCAACATTTGGAACAAATTTTGATGGTTAATTTCTAAATAAATATAATATAATTCAAACCAGGCTTAGTTAGGATAGGTGCCCAGAATGCTGTCAGGATTCATATAAAGTTATATATAAAATTATTTTCTGTATTATCTAATTGTTCAACAGTTGGTTTAGGCATACAAATGAAACTTCTCTTGCAGCTAATATATATATTTTTCTTTATATTTTCTTGCTCTATTCTTTTTTTTCTTCCTTTGTGTCTTTCTTTTGGGTAAGAGATTTATCGATATGATTTATATGTCATACAATCCACCTATTTGAAATATACAATTCCGTGGTTTTTAGCATCTTCACAGAGTTGTGCAACCATCACTATAGTCAATTGTCAATCATTTTCATCACCCTGAAAAGAAACCCATACCATTCAGCTATCATCAGCCCCAGGCAACCATTAATCTACTTTGTTTCTATAGATTTATCTATTCTAGACATTTCATATAAATGGAATCATATAATATGTGTTTTTTTGTGACTGACTTCTTTCAGTTAGCAAAATTTTTTCAGTGTTCATCCATGTTGTAGTATGTATCAGTACTTCATTCCTTTTTATAGCCAAATAATAGTCCATTGTATGGATATACCACATTTTATTTATCCATTCATCAATAGACGGATATTTGGGTTGTTTCCACCTTTTGGCTGGTAAGAATAATGCTGCTAATAACCATTTGTCTCCAAGTTTTTGTGCAGACATAATATTTTCATTTCTCTTGGAGTGGCATTGCTGGGGCATGTGGTAACTCTATGTTTAATTGTTTGAGGAGCTGCCAGACTGTACTCCTAAGTGACTGCACCATTTTATATTCCCACCAGCAGTGTACTCATGAGTTTCTTAATGACGGGAATACATTCTAAGAAATGCGTTGTTAGGTGATTTTGTTGTTGTGCGGATGACATAGAGTGTACTTACACAAAGCTGGGTGGTGTAGCCTACTACACACCTAGGCTATATGGTACTAATCTTATGGGACCATTGTCGTGTACATGGTCCGTCGTTGAGTGAGACATCGTTATGTGGCGCATGACAGTGTTAGGGTTCCCATTTCTCTACATCTTAGCCATCCTAATTAGGTATGAAGTGATATCTCATTATGGTTTTTGTTTGCATTTCCCTGGTAAGTAATGATGTTGAACATCTTTTTATGTGCATATTGACCATTTGTACATCTTTGGAGAAATGTCTTTTCAGATTCTTTGTCTACCTGTTAATTGGGTTATTTGTCTTTCTATTGTTGAGTTGTAAGAGTTCTCTCTGTATTGTATTCTGAATACAGGTTTTTTATCAGATACGTGAAATTGCAAATATTTTCTCTCATTATGTGAATGAGAGCATCTTATAAATATAATATTGTGATTAATAAAGAGTAATTTGAAGCTTCTATAAACATTTAATTTTCCATAAATTAAAGTGTTTAGCAGTTAAACTGTTCTAATCATGGGTTAATCATTAATGCTTAAGGAGTCAACTTCAAGTTCTTGTGCCTTAGATCAGTTGTTCTTTAACTTTATCAAGCATCAAAATCAGCTGGAGGGCTTGTTAAAATGTACCTTGCTGGGCCCCACTCCCAGAGTTTCCTAGCGTTTCAGAAGGTCTTGGGTGGGGCCCAAGAATTTACATTTCTAACAAGTGATGCTGATGCTGTTGGTTCCTGGATCTCTGCCTTAGTGATCACTATGAACTAGCATAAAGTATTTGAGAAATGCTGACAAGTAGGAACTTCTACCTGATAAAAAAGATAAAACTTAGTTTTACATCCCATATTTGCATATACAATTTGCATGTATTTGCGTATACAAAGTTTCTTATATTTAGCCATGGTTAGTGGCTAAATTATTTGGTTTCTTTCAAAACTCCTGCATACCTTTTTTCATAGGGCTGTCTCCTTTCAGATCCTCACAAGTTTCCTTGAACTTAAGAAAATATTGGGGCTGGCCCCGTGGCTTAGCAGTTAAGTGCGGCGCTCCGCTGCTGGTGGCCCGGGTTCGGATCCCAGGCGCGCACTGATGCACCGCTTCTCTGGCCATGCTGAGGTCGCATCCCACATACAGCAACTAGAAGGATGTGCAACTATGACATACAAGTATCTACTGGGGCTTTGGGGTAAAAAAAGGAGGAGGATTGGCAATAGATGTTAGCTCAGAGCCGGTCTTCCTCAGCAGAAAGAAGAGGATTAGCATGGATGTTAGCTCAGGGCTGATCTTCCTCACAAAAAAAAAAAAAACCTAATAATCAAAGAATGTTAGAACTTAAAGGAACTTTATGGATCATCCAGTTCATCTCTCTTCTCCCTCCCCCAGATAGAGATTAACTAATCACTTAATGAAGTTCACATAGCTAATTAGTGGTAGGTATAGGTAGTTCTTAGTGAATTTGTTTCTGGTAATTCTTTATTGTTTGAAGAAAAGTAAAAATTTATTTCAGCTAATATATTTTTAGTTATTTTCAAATACAGGTCTTGTTGGTAACTTATTTTATTATACAATAAAAAATGCAATAGTTTTGAAATGACTTTTTATGCTTAATGCTGTGCTAAATAGTATCTTATTACTTCACTACACACCAAAGAAATACACGAATTTAGCCTGACAAATTAGGTTTTCAAAGGTATGTTTTATAGATATCTTTTTTGTTTTTGTGTTTTTCTTTTTTTCCCCCAGCTTTATTGAGAATAATTGACAAAAATTGTATATATTTAAGGTGTACAACATGATACTTTGATATACATTGTGAAATGATTACCACAATCAAGCTAATTAACATATCTGTTACCTCACATAGTTACCATTTTTTTGTGTGTGTTGTGAGAACACTTAAGATCTACTCTCTCAGCAAATTTCAAGTATACAATATAGAATTATTAACTTTAGTCACCATGCTGTCCATTAGATCTTCAGACTTATTCATCTGCATAACTGAAACTTTGTGCTCTTTGACCAACGTCTCTCTGTATAGGTGTCTTTTCTATTCTGTTCTTAAAGAAAGCATATGAGGAAGAAAATAAATGTTAAAGAATCTGTGCTAGTGAGATGTGGGACAGATTTCCATGAATAAATTCAAGTAAAATGGAGCACAGTGAGCAGGTTGTTTCTTGGAGACATCTTACACCTATTAGAAAATTCAGAGGGAGTGATGAAGAAAGGATATGTAATGGAAAAAGTATAAAGCTGCCTGCCCCCCTCCTCCCTCCCCTTTAAAGAATCTCCCTGGCCAAGTCTGCTTAAGGGGAAAGACAGTCTTGCTTTCACCAGTCTAGGTTATAGGTTAGTAGGTGTTCATTTTAATAATTACAGAAATACTAAAATCTTTTTTTCGTTTAGCCCTTCACCTTAATAAAGTGACTTTTTGTTTTTTTGTTTTTTTGTTTTTTTCCTAAATTAGTCCTTCTGCATTGTTTCTTTCATAGGAGTTTAGGTAGCCAAATAGGTAGCTCCACATAAACATCTAGCTTCTCAGCCACCAACTGTAAAATGCATAGAAAATACTATTAAACACTAAAAATAGATTGCGAAAGCACTGCTGACTGACATATGAAATTATTTTGTAATTGCCCTTGATCAGCTCATGCCTAGACTTCTTTGCAGCCAATAGCCTATTCCAGCCATTCTGTAATGTTGCTTAAATAATTTTTCTGCTTCCCTGTTAACACTCTTAGTGACTCCTCTTTGTCTTCTTTGAACAATGATACAGCCCTGTCCTATGTCAGTCTCAGATTATGTGGAACTGGAATAATTTTTGTCTTGGAAGCAAGTATTCCTGTTAAGGCTTCAGGCTTGGTGTGTTTTCACCTTTTAGATTTTGCCTAGAGTAAGGAACTTACTAAAGTAAGAAATGCACTGCTGCCCTAGATTCAGGAATGGGGAGTTATTTCACTGTCTCAAATACAAACCTTTGAATGTAGCCTGCAGAACTCTGGTAGTTGAGAGCCACATACTGCTTCACAGTTAGTTCTCCTTATAACCTAGGAAAGATACCTCATCCTAGCCCTTCCTAACTGAACCTCTCATCTCTGAGCTGGGACTATTCTGCTTGCCTAACTAGAGTGTCTCTTTATCCAGGAAGCCTTTTCAGATCAACTCCACCCATCCACCAGTCCTCCAGTAGTTTCTCAAGAATCCTCAGATGTTCTCCAGGGTCTGAAAGTTCTCTATGAGATTTAAACAATTTTGTGCTTCTCTGTATGGAGGCAAATACCATACATCTGGTGTCTACTGGGTGGTGAAGTGGAAAATGATTATTTTTAAACGGTGGCAGAACCTTTCTGAAACTTTTGTAAGCAGCAAATTTGAGCAGTGGTTTAAAATAAAGATTTTAAAACTGTGTTCTGTGTAATTCTAGGAAGTGCCTTAGGGTGCCTGTATGGTAGCCCTCATCATCGGGATGGATGAACTGGAGACAGGAGACACCACCCTCACTTTAACCGGGGTTGCTTCACTTTTATTTATATTATATATTGTGGTTCAGTGGAGATTTCTCTTGGGAGCTCCCCTCTCCACACTAAAAGTTTTGAAGATCGCTGGACTAACAGGTTTATGGTTTGGGGTTTTGGTGGGAACAGGGATGGTGTGTGTGGCTGACTAAATTATTGGTAAATAGATTTTCTGTAGTTAACCTGACAAGGAGTCCTCCAAAATTATTAGTGGTGATTGGGGAACGCTACTCCGGGCCATCTTAGATTGGTAGATCAGTAATTCTCAAGTTTTTGATCTCAGGACCCCTTTATACTCCTAAAAAATTATTGAGGCTCCCAAATAGCATTGTTTATATGGGTTATACCCATGAATTTGTATTTTTGAAAATAAAACAAAAAATTTTAATTTATTTAAAAATAATAAACTCATTACATGTTAGCAATAACATTTTTATTAAAATAACTATATTTTCCAAAAAAAAAAATTTAGCAAGTGGCGTTTTATATTTTTGGAAATCACTTTAATGTCTGACTTAATAGAACTAACTTGGATTCTCATATATGCATCTGCATTCAATCAGTTGTGATACATTGTTTCAGTTGAACTATATGAAGAAAATCAAGCTTCATGCATATAAATAGTTGGAAAGGGAAAAGATATTTAACAACTTTTTCAGATATTATGAAAATTTTTCTTTGACATCAGACCTCACAAGTGGTAGTTTCTTACTTACAAGGTAGAATCTGAAACCATAGCAATGAACTTTTTGTTCCCTGAATTAAAAGGAGCAATGTACCCCTGTAAAAAGTCTCTAAAGGCCTTCTCCTTCGGCTTTTCATCATTGCTGCTCCATTGCACTCAAAGTCAAAGTCCTTAAGTGATCTGGCCTCCTACTGTCTCACTGATCTCATCTCCAGACTCTCTGCTGACTGCTCTAGGCACACTGAACTTTTTTGCTGTTGGTTCCTCTCAACAGTCTCCTGTGTTGGGCTTTTGTGCATGCTGTTACCTCTGACTTGTTAGCAAATAAATTAGATATTGTGTTAAATGATCTTAATTTAGTAAAAACCTACCAGCAGAACGTATCTCTGTTTTTGAATGTGAAAATAGGAATCTCTGAGTAGAATTGCTTGTACTTGGCATTGGCATTGTAATCAGAAGCATTTACTCACCACCTTTATGTCAGACTCTGACCCTGTCCTGTGTTGGTAGAAATGGAAGTGGCACCAAGTCATTTGGATTGCTAATACTTTGCTATAGAGGATATAAATGTGCTTCCCCATTGCAAAAACCCTAAAAATTGTCTTTACTACTGTAGTTTACTAGGCCCTAACCACATAAATGATCAGTTATTTCAGGAAAATATAATACAAATAGAAAAATCATTATTTTATATGTTAGGCAGATTTAATTTAAATCTAGGTGATGGAAACAATTAAGCTACTAGTCAGGAATGTTTAATATTTTCCTTAAAAACTAAATTTTTATTGCCTGATGTACTTAATATTCTTCACTTAAAAGGTATTATAAATCATACATTTTCAGGAAATTACATTTTCGTATGATATGAGATGTTTCACTGAATTCACTAATTTATTGAATGGTAGGCCAAGGATACAGGGCTTAAAAAAGTGTATTTCCTGTTCCCAAGGAGGTTCCAGAACTGTTATAGCATTATATTGCGTGATTAGAAGCCCAGGTGAACAAAGGCAAATTCTTACTAAGTCTTCAGGAAAAGGCCGGTCTACGATTTAACAGGACATTTGGGGATTTTTTTTCCTGTTATGTGTTAAGAGTTCAGTGGACACAGTTGTATATTTCATTATATAACTTTATGTATCCTGGCTATCTGTAGTGACTTAATACTTTAAAAACTCAATTTTAAGGAAATAATTATTGGTATACCTTAATGATTAGAAATTTTATTTAATAGTGTACTTAAAACTCTATGAAAGTTGGATGTCAGCATGAGGAAGAAATTCATACACCTTCCTTATCTAGTTTATTTCCAGATTTGAGAAAGACAAACCTTTCTCTTTCTATTTCCCGTTAGTATATCAGTTGAGGTTCTTGGTTGCAAATAAAAGAGCTAGGTCATAAAAGAGATTTGTTGGAAGGTGCTGCTTAGAGAGTTGTGGAGGGGGCAGTCAGCCTTGACAGAGGAACTGGCAGGGAGTAGTAAGGGAGCTCTGTCCAGGACTTGAGGGTTCATGGCAACAGGCTTCTAAGTGGGAAAGGCCTGCTGGATCCCTGCTTCTGCTGTGACCGTCCTCCAATCAGTCTTTCCTTCCTTGGGTTACTTGCTTATGTTTTAGGGGAGAGTGTCTGTGCCCACCCCCTGCCTATGCTGGAATGGGAAGAGGTAGGGCCTACCCTCTTGGCTTCTATGGTGGGAAGTGGGTCATCAGAAGTTCCTCTTTTACCAAAATGGCAGAGAGAGGAGAGGTAATTTCTCAAAAGAAAGTCAGAGTCCTATTAGGAAGGCACACAGGAATGACAGATATTCATTACAATTAGTTAAAGGGAGAACTATCTTTATAAACCCACAGAAGGAACAAGAGTTAGTTAAACTAACTCTTTCAATTGAGGCAGGATTGCTGCCTCAATTGAAAGAAAAAAAATTGCATTTAAAAAATAACACTTTTTGAACAGTAGTACAAAAACACCTGGGTTGTTGCATTAGTAATTTCTGAAATAAATATATGTAGGTCACCACTTGACTGATGTGATATTCTTGAAAACCTTACTGTGTGTTTGTATGTATGTGTGTATGACACAATTTATAGTGAAGGGACTTCAATTACCACTTCACTGATAGTGGTGTTACTTAAAATTTTATGGGCACGTTCACACACATATAGTAATAATCTATTAAAATTATATATATATAATTTGTATATATTTGGATACAGTATATTTATATTTAGTATAAAATCACAGTTATAACAAAAAAATATAAGTGATATCCGCAGTTTATGGAGTAGGAAACCTGAGAAGTTAAATTTCTTGTCCAGAGTCATACAGCTACTAAATTAAAGAATCAAGATTTTAATCCAGTTCTTAATTACTCACATATATTAAGAATGGCCTAGCTAACTCTTTATTATCTGTACAATGGGGAAAATAGTGCCTATCTTGCAAGATTGTTTGAAGATTAAAGTATAAGAAGTTTCTTGTTATTGTAAGAGTTAACAAACCTTTAGTTAAATGTTAGTTTTTAAAATGCATTTATTTAAAAAATCAAAGTATTTCTGTAGTAATTGATTCTTTTGAGATCTTTGTATATGCTTAGAGCCACTTTTTTTTAGAATTACATTTTAGAAAAGAAGTAATACTGTCTAATAAGAGTTCTGAGGTTATAACATAGCACTTTGGTATTTAGAAGTAAATTGTCATTTTCATTTTAAACTTTAATTGGAGAATTTGAGTGGTATGAAATTTTTCTTGTATGCCTAGTTGTTTTTGTTTGTTTTTTGGTGAGGAAGATTGGCCCTGAGCTAACATCTGTTGCCAGTCTTCCTCATTTTGCTTGAGGAAGATTGTCCCTGAGCTAACATCTGTGCCAGTCTTCCTCTAATTTGCATGTGGGATGCTGCCACAGCATGATTTTGATGAGTGGTGTGTAGGTCCGATCCCAGGATCGGAACCCTCGAACCACAGACCACTGAAGCAGAGTGTGCGAACTTAACCACTATGCCACCAGACTGGCCCCTTGAATGCCTAGTTTGAAGAGAATATTTTTACATCTAATTAAGAGCTTCTACGTGTATTTAAATTTATCCTGCTTTTACAGAGATTTTATTTGAAATTTCCTAAGTCTTTTCTGTTGAGACATACTTTGATAGATTTTTTAATGTAAATTATTTTTTATTGTGAAATATTAGGAATATGACGTCGCCATTTTGTAGGTTAAAAATGGTTGAATATTGGCAATTTCACATAGTTCAGTTGAACAAAACACACACTCAGAAAGTTGCATACATAAATATACCGCTAAAGCATTATTATAAAATAACATCGCTATACCGACCACTTGGGCCAAAAATAGGACATTGGCAGCATCCCACAATCTCCTGCAGGACCTTCTGCAGTCACAGTTCCCTCCTTCCTCTCTAAGGTAACTCACCCTCCTGGCTTTTATGATAATCACTTGCTTGCTTTTCTTTGTTTGTTTACCATCTAAAGAATACAGTTTTGTTTTGTCTGTTTTTGAGCTTTATATAAACCAATACAGTGTATATTCTTTTGTTTCTGGCTTTTTTCTTTTTTCTTCTATTTGAGAGAGTCATCCATATAGTTGTACCTGTTGTGTGTAGTGTTACTACTACGTAATATTTTGTTGTATGACTATACCACCTATCAGCTATTCTTGATAGACATTTGGATTGTTTCCAGTTTGGGATTATTACAACTTTTGCTGCTCTGAGCATTCTTGTTCATGTCTCCTATGCACATTGAACACATTTCTGTTGCGTATATACCTAGGAGTGGAATTATTGGGTCATAAGGAATGCATATCTTCGGTTTCAGTTGATGTCACACTGTTTTCCAAAGTGGATGTGACAATTTGCACTGCATCAGTGTATGAGAGTTCCAGTTGCTTGACATCAGAACCAACACTTAATATTGGCTTTCTTAGTTTTAGATATTTGGTATCTCATTGTGGTTTTAATTTGGATTTCCCTGATGACGAATAAAGTTGAACACCTTTTCATATGCTTACTGACATTTCAGTGTCTTCTTTTGTGAATTGCCCGTTCAAGTCACTTGCTGGTTTTTCTACTAAGCTGCCTGTCTTTTTCTCATAGCTTTATAAGAGTTCTTTTACACTTTGGCTTTTGTTGTTTATATGCGTTGCAGGCATCTTCTCTGTTGCTTGATGTTTCATTCTTTTCATGGTGGCTTTTTATAACCAAGATTCCTTAATTTTAATGTAGACATATTATCATTTTTTTTTATTTGTTTTATTGGCACTTTTTGTGTTTTGCTTAAAAACTGTTCCTCTACCCCCAGGTCGCAAAGATATTTTATATTATTTTCTAAAAGCTTTTTTTTTTATTGAGGTCATAATAGTTTATAACATTGTGAAATTTCAGTTGTACATTATCATTTGTCAATCACCATGTTAAATGTGCCCCTTTGTGCCTTATGCCCACCTCCCAACTGTCTTCCCCTCTGGTAACCATTAATCTGTACTCTTTGTCCATGTGTTAGTTTATCTTCCATATATGAGTGAAATCATACGGTGTTTGTCTTTCTCTGTCTGGCTTATTTTGCTTAGCATAATACCCTCAAGGTCCATCCATGTTGTTGCAAATGGGACGATTTTATCTTTTTTTATAAGCTGAGTAGTATTCCATTGTGTGTGTGTGTGTGTGTGTGTATATATATATATATGTACCATGTCTTCTTTATCCAGTCATCAGTCGATGGGCACTTGGGTTGCTTCCACGTCTTGGCTATTGAGAATAATACTGCAGTGAACATAAGGGTGCATAAGTCTCTTTGAATTGTTGATTTCAAGTTCTTTGGATAAATACCCAGTAGTGGAATAGCTGGGTCATATGGTATTTCTATTTCTATTTTTTTGAGGAATCTCCATACTGTTTTCCATAGTAGCTGCACCAGTTTGCAGTCCCACCAGCAGTGTATGAGAGTTCCCTGTTCTCTACCTCCTCTCCAACAATTGTTATTTTTTGTCTTGGTGATTATAGCCATTCTAACAGGTATAAGGTGATATCTCAATGTAGTTTTGATTTGCATTCCCCTGATGACTAGTGATGTTGAACATCTTTTCATGTGCCTATTGGCCATCTGTATATATTCTTGGGAAAATGACTGTTTATATCCTCTGCCCATTTTTTGATTGGGTTGTTTGCTTTTTTGTTGTTGAGTTCTTTGAGTTCTTTATATATTTTGGAGATTCACCACTTGTCAGATAGATGATTTACAAATATTTTCTCCCAGTTGATGGGTTGTCTTTTTGTTTTGTTCATGGTTTCCTTTGCCTTGCAGAAGCTCTTTAGTCTAATGAAGTCCCACTTGTTTATTTTTTCTTTTGTTTCCCTTGCCCAGGTAGACATGGTATTCCAAAAGATCCTTCTAAGACCGATGTCAAAGAGTGTTCTGCCTATATTTTCTTCTAGGAGTTTTATGGTTTCAGGTCATACCTTCAAATCTTTGATCCATTTTGAGTTAATTATTGTGTATGGCGAAAGATAATGGTCTACTTACATTCTTTTGCATGTGGCTGTCCAGTTTTCCCAGCACCATTTATTGAAGAGACTTTCCTTTCTTCATTGTATGTTCTTAGCTCCTTTGTCAAAGATTAGCTGTCCTTAGATGTGTGGTTTCATTTCTGGGCTTTCAGTTCTGTTGCATTGATCTGTGTGTCTGTTTTTGTACCAGTACCATGCTGTTTTGATTACTATAGCTTTGTAGTATATTTTGAAGTCAGAGATTTTGATGCCTCCAGCTTAGTTCTGTTTTCTCAGGATTGCTTCAGCTATTTGGGATCTTTTGTTGCCCCATATGAATTTTAGGATTCTTTGTTCTATTTCCGTGAAGAATGTCATTGGGATTCTGGTTGGGATTGCATTGAATCTGTAGATCACTTTAGGTAGTATGGACATTTTAACTGTATTTATTCTTCCAATCTATATGCATGGAATATCTCTTCATTTCTTTATGTCA